ACACCAATGTAATGTCGATGTTTTCTTTCTTTTTTTATGTGCCATGTCCTTTCAGGACGTGGTCGATTATGGCTCTCCACTTCCCTCTATCCCTTGCAGCTCTCAACAAGTTCCTTTCCTCTGCTTCCTCCCCCCAGGTCACGTTCTGTCATCCACCTGCCCAAGCCCGCCAGTTATGTCATGCGTTGTTTTCACTTGTCTCTCTTTCCCTCTATTCAACCCGTGAGTATCAGATTTTCCAGGTCCTTCTTCCGCATTATGTGTCCCAGGAACATCAGCTGCCTCTTCCTGATGTTAAGTATAAGCCTCCTCCTTGTTTGCATCCTCTCTATGACCTCATCCTTGCTCACACTCTCGGTACATGATATCCTTAGCATCCTTCTGTAGAACCAAATCTTTGTCGCCTCGAGTATCTTCTTCACTTTTGAGGAAATCGTCCAACATTCGCTGCCGTAAAGAAGGACAGATGTCACGTAAAGAAAAACCTCCTGTCTCGCAATATTCTGCCCAGCTTTTGGAATATGTCCTTGGCCATCCTAATGCGTCTACGGATCTCAGTGTCGCACTTACCGTCCTCTTCCCAGATATTTAAATTTCCGCATCTGTTTGATTCTAGTGTTCTCGACCTGCAAATCGCATTTCAGGCTCATCCTCTTACTGAAGACCATGCATTCTGTCTTCTTGCTTCTCACTCTCCGTCGCTACCTTCCGTAGGAGATTTTGTAATTTCTTTTCCGTCTCTGCTATCAGTATTGCGTCATCTGCGTATCTTATGTTGTTACGGTTGTGCCCCCCTCCCCCAAGGGTAAATGCCGGTAGGTTTAGGTGATAGACTGCAGATGGCATACAGAGAATGAAAACTACACGATCTCCGAGACGGGGTAACAAAAGAATCCAAGAATATAACGAATTATATATCGTAAGAAAGCAGATTATATGATTGTGGAGATTTTTCAAGCGTAGCTTAGATGCTGCACAAGGCTGAAAGTATGTGGCATCCAGTGAGGATCGAACTCACTACACACTAGCAATTGATCTAGCGAGACAGGATTGCTAACCATTACACTACGTCGAGGGGCCTAGTGATTATATGGTTGTGAGTAAGAGAAAAAGCTGAAGAAAGGAACGATGTATTGGAGTTGTCAAAATAAAATAAGTTTAAATAACGGGTAAGGGTTTTAAGACAGGATGGAAAAGACGATACGGAAATTCGAAGTCTCATTGGAATAACAAATCATGTCTTCCTTAAGCTAAAGAAAGGACTAAGAAAGTTGATGCCTTATTTAATATCAATAATCCTACGTAATGGGCACCTGGCCGAGTGGTTAGAATGATGGGCACCTGGCCGAGTGGTTAGAATGATGGGCACGCGGCCGAGTGGTTAGAACGACGGGCACGTGGCCGGGTGTTAGAATGATGGGCACGCGGCCGAGTTGTTAGAACGACGGGCACCTGGCCGAGTGGTTAGAATGATGGGCACGCGGCCGAATGGTTACAACGACGGGCACGTGGCCGAGTGTTAGAATGATGGGCACGCGGCCGAGTGTTTAGAACGACGGGCACGTGGCCGAGTGTTAGAATGATGGGCACGCGGCCGAGTGGTTAGAACGACGGGCACGGGGCCGGGTGTTTAGAACGTTCTCATTCTGATCATTAAACCCGGGTTCCAATCTCACCGTAGTCGATTTGTCAGTAAAGAGACTGGGTTGATTTCAACGTGCGGCACCTTTGGAAAGTGCCTGAAGACCATATCACGGGTGGGGAACCAAGCATTGTGAGTGAAAGTGAGTAGACGGAACGCTTGTTTATCGAAACCGAGGGAAATTGTTGATCACGTGAGATAACACGCTCTTTCTCAGAAACTGTTACTAAGGTCTGCTCAGTAGCAGTTGCAGTATAAACCACAGGTGGGCTCTGTGGCTGTTGAACAAACAAAAATGCGCCTGAGCAAGCGTCTGCAATAAGGATTGTCTAGCCGCCCTAGTAGACAGGTATCCTCGAATACGATTGGCCAGCTATAATACTACTACTACTAATAATAAAAATATACTGCAATCAATGCTGCACAAATGAAGGCAAGGCTTGAGGCTGTAGAAAGCAGGTTTTATAGAAGGATGCTTATCCATAGCTGATGTCTACGATTGCTGAAACCTGTGCTATATTTATTCGTCGGTCTTTCTTGATCAAGGTATCCACACACAGGATGTGTTCTTCCGTGGGCGATGTTGATAGGCGACCAGATCACCTGTCGTTCGTTACCCTTTGTTTTTCCCTCGTTAGAGCGTTCAACCCACTCGTACGCCTTTCATCAATTCATGGTGAGTGCTCTATACTACGCCAACATACGGCGATGGATTTTCACAGGTTTGACTCCCACAGAAAGCGGCCTACAAGTCCTTTGTTTCTTGATAGTGCAATCTCTGAGTGGCGCGTCCATATGTCTGGCTTTGTTGCTCACTGCCACACGACTGAACGATGAAATTCTGTGCGCGGTTAGTTATCGGTCATCTCATATGCGCACATAGTGTTGCGCCTCAGCATCCCTTGTTTAAAAATTCCCTTTCCTTTCTAACTTATCGTCTGTAGGGAAAACACACAGTATGTTGAATATAAGCGAATGGCTAATACGCTGATTGGGAGATCTGTCATTATCTGATATTTCATGTGTTGGCAACATTTTTGCTATGTGCCAACTTAGGGTTTGTCTTCCAACACGATACGAAATTTTTTTTATACAAGTCTAGGTCAATACCAGTCAGTTATATGCCATGCGTGATACACGCTTAGACGATAATGTATCTTTCGATACATGACTGACGAGGCAGATTTTTTCCCCGCAATAGTTTGCCATTTCTTTCTGCTAGTAGTTTGCCATTTCTCTCAGCTTTGAGACCAGTTGCCATCCAAGACTATATAACACAGTCTGTCCTGCTATTTTACCCATAGCTGGTGGGAGAAGAAGAGGACTCATCCCTTTTTCCAAGGGTTTTAGCACGTATGTAATGGATTCGACTGGAATTCGAACTCGGCTCTCCAATTCCTCAATCCAAGCCGCTATTGAAATAGCTAAATATCTTCTTTGCGTTGTAGTAGTTATTGGTTTGGACTTCGTGATGTTATTTGCGACTGCGTGCCAATGGAAATTGCTTGGCGTGCCACGTGTGGCACGTTTGCCGTAGCTTGCCGAACCGTGTGATATTTCACGTTCTAAACGATATCAAATGCATCGAAAGTAGCCACTTTTGATTTATTTGCTGTCTCTTTGTTATGAGGTGGTAGGGACTTATTTTAGACAGTTGGTGTAATCAGTTCAGAAAACCCACCATTTTAAACAGATTAACCCTTTCTTAATAAAATGTTAAAGAAAGAAAGAAAAGGTAATCATTATTATGGTTATAATGCTGATACTTGCAGATCATCTTATCGATCACGTGATCAAATCCTAGAAAAGGATTACGATGGTAATCGATATATTCCGTACGGCCGCATATGGCAATACTGTGTTTCGGATCAATAAGTAGAAAGAAAGCATTGTTGTCATTTTTTAGAATATAAAAGAAAAACTCTAGCATTATTTCTTGTGCACCACGAAAGAAATCGGGGAAAGGATATCAGAGTGTGGTGGGTTGGCTCTTGAGTAGAAGACAGGACTGTTTGTTTCTATCGTTTTACCTTTGTTTGGCAGCCATTACTGACTGGACAGCAGAAAACAAAAAAAAAAAAAACAAAGTCTGAGATGCATTCAACAGATGGAATGGTAAAGGCCCGAATGGGCAGAATTTCAGTTGAAGAACAGACGTCATATTTTAAAACGTCTTGAGTAAAAAAAATGCCTTGGAGTTACAAAGTGCACATTGTTTGTTCTTTTTTCTTCTTCTTATTTCTTCTTCTTGTTATTTTTCTTATTTCTTCTACTTCTTATTTCTTGTTATTTCTTCTTCTTGTTATCCTTGTTATTTCTTCTTGTTATTTCTTCTTCTTCTTCTTCTTGTTATTTCTTCTTCTTTTTCTTGTTATTTCTCCTTCTTCTTCTTGTTATTTCTTCCTATTATTTCTCCTTCTTCTTCTTCTTATTTCTCGTTGTTTTTTCTTCTTCTTCTTCTTCTTCTTCTTCTTATTTCTTCTTGTTATTGTTATTTCTTCTTCTTCATATTTCTTGTTATTTCTCCTTCTTCTTCTTATTATTATTTCTGCTTCTTATTTCTTGTTATTTCTTTTTCTTCTTCTTGTTATTTCTTCTACTTCTTGTTATTTATTCTTCTTATTTCTCCTTCTTCTTATTTCTTGTTATTTCTCCTTCTTCTTCTTCTTCTTCTTCTTCTTATTTCTCGTTGTTGTTTCTTCTTCTTGATGTTGTTATTTCTCCTTCTTCTTATTATTTCTTGTTAGTTTTTCTTCTTATTTCTTGTTATTTCTTCTTCTTCTTCTTCTTATTTCTTGTTATTTCTTCTTCTTCTTCTTATTTCTTGTTATTTCTTCTTCTTCTTCTTCTTCTTATTTCTTGTTAGTACTTCTTCCTTCTTCTTATTTCTTCTTGTTATTTCTCCTTCTTCTTCTTATTTCTTGTTATTTCTTCTTCTTCTTCTTCTTCTTCTTCTTCTTCTTCTTATTTCTTGTTATTTCTTCTTCTTCTTCTTCTTATTTCTTGTTATTTCTTCTTCTTCTTCTTCTTATTTCTTGTTATTTCTTCTTCTTTTTCTTCTTCTTCTTATTTCTTGTTATTTCTTGTTCTTCTTCTTCTTATTTCTTGTTATTTCTTCTTCTTCTTCTTCTTATTTCTTGTTAGTACTTCTCCCTTCTTCTTATTTCTTCTTGTTATTTCTCCTTCTTCTTCTTCTTCTTGTTATTTCTTCTTCTTATTATTATTTCTTGTTATTTCTTTTTTTTTCTTGTTATTTCTTCTTCTTCTTATCATTATTTCTTGTTATTTCTCCTTTTTCTTGTTAGTTCTTCTTGTTGTTGTTATTTCTTCTTTTTCTTCTTCTACTTTGGTAATTTCCGCCATATCAAGTTGAAACACCGGTTCTCATCCGATCATAGAAGTTAAGCAACGTCCAGCTTGGCCAGCACTGAGATGGGTGACAGCTTGGGAATACCAGATGCTGTAAACCTAGATGTGAGGATGGTGTGTACAATTTACAGCCATTCCTTACCCCAGTTAACCACTGATTGGAGGTCCATTTCTGGAACAGTTCGCAGTTCTCATTTATCGGACTTGTCGGGCTTGCTACAAAACAGGAGTAAATAAGTGTGTAACCTGCTGTTTTATTTCATAACTTTCACAATTTCCCGTTTATTGCCGTCTATCCTCCGTGGGTAATTCTTACTGATAGCTTTGTTCCCAACTTATCTTTCTTCGTATTTTTATCGGCGAACAACCGCATATTCGGCATGTGATTTGCGGGAATTTGGTTTGTTGCAGGCAATACTTTGGTTCTCTGCAATAGTTCTACTATGGATTTAACTCTTACCTCTTTTCTGGGGTTGTTTCTTAAAAATAGCAATGGAGAACTAATTTTCTGTTCTTATTATTGTCGTCGTATACGGCGAGCTGATATTTGCTATTGTTTGCACGAAAGAATCTATACCTACATTTGTATTTTTCCAGAATGATGGATCCTATGTAAGGTCCTGTTTATCCAAGCCCTATTACGTTGTTCGGCAGAGCTATCCGTCAAAAAAATCTCTGAATTACACCCGGAGCTGGATGTTGTGAGCCAACGAAACAGGCCATCACCCCTTTCCCTTGGATTGTTTGGTCTGGTCATACGATGCAAATAATCCTCTGCTTACTCTCCTTGTTTCCACGTAGCCACTTTATCGTCGACGATTTATTTTGTAAAATACAAAATTATGGCACAAGGCCTAAAAAGGGGGGGGTAAAAGGCTGGTTTTCACTAACTATCTTATACCTAGCTAATTTGATTCACGACCCATTCAGACATTACAATTTACTCATTCACTATAAGAACTCGTCCGTCACCAATCAACCCTCCATGCACCATAATACCACATCCACTCTAGGGAGGCCTACAAAATGCGCCCCGTGTCATAATAATTTAATGATCCTAACACATATGTACAAAATTCTAAAATGAAAAGATGAGAGTGGGGGGGGGTGAACCCAATAACGAACTGAAATATTAACATAAATGAAATTAAACGTTAACTGATGTTAGTAAGGCCCGTCCAACCCTCAAAAGGCAGGGAGACCACTGTATTCTGCCCATTGGAACAAAATCAAGCAGCTCTCTCGCTAAGGGAGTGGGAAAGGTGTTAAAAAATCATACGGGCATGGGGAAGTATAAAGCTGACCCAGTCGAGATAGAAAGTGGGGGGGGGCAAAAAACAAACTGGGGAGGTTGATCGTCGGCTGCTGATATGTAGAAGGTGGGTCTGGACTTGTGTAACTTACACACTTAAATCCACAAACGCCGTTCCTCGAAAGTAAGCCGCCGCATTGGACTTTAAGCGAAGCTTTTGAATGAAGTTCAACTTTCAGACGACATTTTACTGCCAACAGAAGCCGCTATTATCACTGGCGTGTCAGAAAGTTTATTTCTTTTTTTTTAATTTATGACTCTAAAAAAAGAGGAAGAAAAATAAGCATCAAATACAGCACCGAAAAATAAAAGTACAATGAAGATCATATTTCTTTAAAAAAATGTCTGTACAATTTTATTATCAACAAAAAATTATATATGTTTTTTAATCAAGACAAGAACTTCAGACCCGTAAAATACAATTTGTAAAACTGATCAACAATAGAGTCGTTTGAAAGATTAATGGAACTGATTATACATTTTGTCTCATCGAAGAATCTTGTCTTTTCTTTAATAGCATTAACAAGAATATAGATGCGCAGGTAGGGTAGCGATTATCGACACGAAAAATACGAGTGGTGTGCCACGTTCAAACTCTTACCACAGTCATTACGTTTGCTTTCGCAGAAATAATTTTGATAAATATGAATCGGTGACAGTTTGTTTCATGTTTAAAAGCATTCTCAATGGCATGATGACACACACACACAAACACACACACACACACACACACACACACACACACACACATATATATATATATATATATATATATTGTTGGATTGATGTGAGTTTGTGACACTGGGTTTCACGCTTTTGCGACCGTCTGTGTTTTTCTGACGATCGCAAAAGAGTGAAACCCAGGGTCACAAACTCACATCAATCCAAATAAATATGTTAACTCTATCTCTGATATTGAGTGCTTTCCAATATATACAATATATTGCACACACACACACACACACACACACACACACACACACATATATATATATATATATATATATTTATATACATACACTTTTATATATATATATATATATATATATATATATATATACAAGAGAATTAAAGCCGAAAATAAATAAAGCCAACAATGAGTATAGCAACAAAGTCCTTAAATGCTTACCTATATATATATATATATATATATATATATATATATATATATATACACACACACACACACACACATATATATATATATATATATATATATATATATATGAACAAAAATGGAAATGTTACATCCCTTACACTCGAAAAAAAAAAAAAAGCGCTTGAACTATGAAATTTGAAATCTAGAAGCAGTAAAAACGAACAGTTGAAATACTTAGAATTTACAAAAATGCATATACCTACGCCAAGGCAACTTAACCCCCTGAAGATGGACTCAGGTGATATTGAAAGTACTTGGGAAAAAACTATTTGAAAGAAAATGTTGGTAGTTTACTTAATCAATTTTCTATGGATACCAAGAAGTTAATCCGCGAACTGGAAGGATCACACTGATAACTAACCGACATGACATGTATAGTTGTTTAACCAAACCTGTTTGAATATATTTAAGCACGGTGGAGTAGTGGAGTAGCTCGGATTGAGCTCGAATTCCAGTCAAATCCATTACATTAACTTACGTGCTAATAATACCCTTGGAAAAGGTGTGAATCCTCTTCTTCTTCCACCAGCTATGGGTAAATAGCAAAACAGACTGGGTTCTATAGCTTTGGAGGGCAACTAGTGGAGAAGTTGAATTTAACACCTTGTGGTACGTAGTATTCCTCCGTCAAAAAGTGTGGTTGGTTCTGTACAAAGCCTTCACCATTATAATCAAATCATATGTACTGGTGTCTGGTTATCGGTTCCTAGGAACCATGAATATGACGGGGAAGAGTGTATCTAATGTCTGATGGATGTCCGTTATCAGTTATCTCCTGTTAATTCCCCTCCGTTTCCACCGCCTTAACCAGGTATTGAACTCACACTCTTTGGGTCATGTCACCGGATCTAACACCTTTATCCAGTGTGCCATGTGTCCTTGAGGACACATGGCACAGTGAGAACAGTCTAGCCCAGTGAGCGAAATAAAGGGTTCAGTTCGACATTCCAGCCACCTGAAGAATGCCGGTGTGTACAACGGCCGAAACGTTGTGATAAATATGGCAACAAAGATGAGGATGATATTCCGAATAATGCAAATAGTGTACATAATACCTTATCTCAGAAATATATATATATATATACACTGAAGTCAAAACTTATAGGCGACAGGCTGTTTCATGCTACACGCAATCGTTTAGCATGAAACAGCCTGTCGCCTCTAAGTGTTGACTTCAATGTTCACTTTTATATTTACACACACGCTATCTCTGATATTGAGCACTTTATTCCATAAATATAGCTCACCTTAAGAGTATATTTCTTCATATATATATATATATATATATATATATATATATATATATATATATATAAATATATATACTATCCCAGAAATTATATATATTCAACTTTATCATGTTTCTGTAAATTGTATATTCCAATATTATAGTTGACCTCCAATAATATCAGATTGCCATTGATTAAATACATCTTATCTCTTCATATTTTTCTTCATTTGAGATGATAATATTCGATTTAAAAATCAACAATTACGATGTTGTATTATGCCGTTGTTCTCGCCCTAAAGAATCTTCTTTCACCGCCTAATCTCAAGTGAAGCTGGTATCTGATACGTTCTATTCTGGTTCACCGAGCCGGCATCTTATCCAAGTGACACTTCTGTCTAATACCAGCGAAGCCACTTTCTCTTTAATTCTATCGCATTATTTATCCCACAACTTAATGATTCAAAGGAAGTCGACGCAGCACAATGTTAATTACAAATTCTCCCTTTAAGCATGATTGATCGACAAAGTTTGAGGACGAAAAGTCTGGTGAAATGTGAGTGCGAAGAATGGAGACACGGGATGGGTGAAGGCGTGTTCATTATGTGTAAGTCACTAAGCAAGATCAAATATTGGCCCTCGAGCGATCAGTTTTATTAGAAGTGACCAACTCGACTCAAACTGGCTATGAATATCGACTGAGGAGTGTGTGAACTTTTCCGAGATAAGTTTAAGATAAGTTGTTGTGGAGTGCATCGATGGATACATCGGTAATAGGATTAACTATTATGTTAAAAGCAACGGTAGTAGACTAAGTAAAGATTTGGATGAAATGCTTTTTCCAAACGGCATGCTTTCTCTGAACATTGGTAATATTCCGAAATTCTTGTATTGAACCTGAATCAGAGAGTAAATGGTTACGTATAGATTCTTAAATTTTATAAGTTCTGAAAAGTGTATAACAGAACTAGATTAAACTATTTTCTTTCACACACACACCTATATATATATATAGAGTGAGAGAGAGAGAGAGAGAGAGAGAGAGAGAGAGAGAGAATAGGAAAACTGTACTTTTAGCCGACGCGTTGCGCCCAGTGTGGAGTTTATCAAGGCAAAAAAAACGGAAAAAAAAGTTTTTTGCCTTGTCCACATTGTACAAAAGGAGTCGGCTAACGCTACAGTTTTCTTATTGTCTTTTTGCTTAATACATATTGTCTTTTTCTCCAGGTTATATATATATATATATATATATATATATATATATATATATATATATATATATATATATTCAGTATTATACATTAAATTCTCGGCTGGGTGTACCGACTACTACTAACCATTAATCCCTTAGCCCTCTCTTTACCCATCCTTTCTCTTTTAACTTCCCTTCCCACTACC